AAAAAAAAAATTTCTTAGAATTGTAGTTTGTCAGTTATAAAAGAAGATAATCACTTGCCACTTTCAGATTGCTCTCATTTTAGCCTGTATTATGCTGATTTACTGTCTTGGGTGTTGCACTTGCTTATTTCCAAGTAGGTTTTGTGTGTGTGTGTGTGTGCGCGCGCGCGCGCGCGCGCGCGCGCGTGCGCCCATGTGCACTTGGGTGTGTAAAATAACTTCCTGGAAACTAAGGTACAGACGAGCAGAGAAACACTTTATTTTCTGCAGGTTTGTTGTTAAGGTGATCGTGACTGGGATTTAATCATTTTCAGAAGCCAGAATAAAGGTGATGATAAGAACAAATCCTTAATGACTGTTTCTTATGTGCCAGGCACTTGGCTAAAGCCGTTATGCTCATTATCTCATTTAGTCCTAACAAAGATTCTTTGAGGTAGGTAGTGTAAAACCAAAAACAACTATGGCTAGTAAGTGACTGAGAGGGACTGTGAGCATGCCTCCGCACCCATCTCCATGAGGAATCGGCAGTATTTAGAGAAAATATGTTCTGCAAGAAGAACCTAGAGATCATTGATAGATGTAGCTGAAATAAAGGAGGTATATTTTTATTTGCCTTTTTTCACTCTTTCCAGGTTGTGCTAGGTTGAGGGACTTTCACGAATGCCTTCTACACTCTGCCAAGAGCAGTGCTTCTCAAGACACTGTACGCTGGAATCACTTTAAAAAAGGCTGCTGAGTCCCATCCCCACAGATTATGATGTTATCGGCTTGGGATACCAACTGGACAGTGGAGATTTTAAAAGTCCTTGGGTGACTCCATTCTCTAAGTAGGCTGCAAACCAGTGGTGTGTGCCAGTGGCCCCCACGCTTGCCTGCATGCTTTCATCACCTGGGGAGCTTCAAAAACTCCTGAAGCCTGAGCTCCTCCACAGACATTGTGATTTAATCGGTCTGCTCTGTGGCCCGGGGTTCAAAAGGTTTAAGAGTCCCAGTGATTCCCGTGTGCACAGTGTGTGAACCTCTGGTGTGTGCGTGGTTTGCACCCAGGCGCCACAGTAGAATCACCCGAGGAACTTTTAAAGCTCCCATAACCCTGGCTTGACCCACTCCAAGTAAATAGAACCTTTGGCAGTGGGCCTAGGTGGCAGCAGTTTTTGGTGCTTTCCAGGTGATTCCCGTACGAAGCCAAAGGTGAGAACTGCAGCTTCTTCTCTCTCCTCTGCACTTTTGGGCCAACTGCATTTACTCTCTCAATACAGAATAGCACTTGAGAAATATAGGGGCAATGATCGGTCTGGATGAGGCTTTTCCTTACATAGATATACTGAGTTCATTTTCTTAGACCATGAAAGAATGCAGAGCTAAGCAAATTAAGGAAAGTAATATGTTCTGTGTTTCAGATAACACAGAACTAACAAAGTTAGTTTTGCCCGTTGTGTGATGTAGTTTAATTAGTAGTAAAAGCAAGGATGGCATTGGTGACTGATTTTTCTGTTTCAGTAACTCTAGTTTTTCTTCTCCCTCTGCCTCTCATTTTGTACAGTTTGGCTGGTATCAAAAATAAATTTGCCCTCTAAAATCAAAGAACCATTAAGAAAAATTTAAAAGTTTTTAATGAAGAAATGTAAAGGTGATTCTCCTCTATCTGTGGCTTACTGACCTTGTCCCTTTTCACTGTGTTGTGCAGGAGTCCCAGGCGTCAGAGAACAACGCTTTGCAGAAGGAATGATGGTAAAGCACTGTGCGTTGTCCCTGGTGGGAGAACCCATCATGTACCCAGAAATCAACAGGTTTTTGAAGCTGCTCCACAAGTGTAAAATCTCCAGTTTCCTGGTCACAAACGCACAATTCCCTGTGGAAATCAGGTGAGTGGTCCAGCTCATTAACATACACTGCTGGAGTCTGTGTTCACTGAAAAGCAAAACTAAGAGGCATTAATATATTAAAAAAGGATTTATTGATTACCAAGCACATACAAATGCTGGCATTTGGGCGCAAAGATGGTCCTGCTCTTAAAAATCCATTTGATTAGGAGAGACAACATTAGTAAAAAGCAAAGAGGCACAAATAAATTGCTGGGGGAATTCAAAAGAGAATGAACTCTTTTCCAGATGGAAGAAGCAGGGTAAAATTTAGAGAAGCCATCATGTAATTTGGATCTTAAAATATGCTGGAACTGCTGCTTGAGAGGGTGGGAAACTAGTTTTTTAATAAGAGCCTCTGGAGAAAGATATGGAGTTAGGGTATTTGTGATTCCATTATGTAAATATAGCTCATCTGGACCACAAAGTGTGCGGGAAAGAGACTAGCAGCAGTAAACCAAGTTGGAAAGGTTGGGAACAGATTGTAGAACTTCAAATGCTACTTTTTAGAAAGCTCTTGCTTTCTGCAGAGCAGTTTTCTAGCATGGTATAAAATGGGAGAGCCAAGCGGTAAGATGGTGGAATAGACAGACGCTGTGCCAACTGCCTCCCAGGATCACACCAAAATTACAAATAATTTATAAAATATTCAACCTCAGAAGTCCCCTGAACACTAGATGAATAGAAACTCTACACGAAGGACTTAAAGAGGAGGCCACGTCGAGTCTGGTAGGAGGGGCGAGGACGACAGAGGGTGAACCCTGTGAGGGACATCGCAGCGGTGGGGAGGCTTCTCCGGTTGGGGGAGAGATCCTCCGGCCCCACACCGCGCTCCGCAGCCCAGAGTTACTTTGCCGGGAAGAGGAGTTCTACGATAGCTGCAAGTAGAAAATAGAGGACTCTCTTTGCTCAACTCGGTGAGGCTGAGGGCAGCTGGAGAAGCAGTGGAGCCAGCACATGGACTCATTCGCTGGTGATCTAATACATCGAAGCAATCAGAGTGACAGCCAGAATGAAGAAACAAAGAAACATGTCCCATGAAAAAGATCAGAAGAAACCCCTAGAAATGGAACTAAATGAAACAGAGGTGTCCGACCTTTCAGAGACAGAGTTTAGAACACTGATGATAAGAATGTTTAAGGAACTTAGTGAGGACATAAAGAAGGATAGAAAAATCACAAAAAACAACCAGTTAGAACTAAAGCATACAATAACTGAAAAGAAGGGGACACACTTGAAGGAATCACCAGTAGATCAGATGAAGCAGATGATCGGATCAGTGATTTAGAAGCAAAATAGTAGAAATCACCGAGTAGGAACAACAAAAAGAAAAAAGAATAAAAAACAATGAAAATAGTTTAAGAGACCTGTGGGACAACATCAAGCACAACAACATTCGCATCATAGGAATACCAGAAGGAGAAGAGAAGAAACAAGGGATCGAGAATGTATTTGAAGAAATAATGACTGAGAACTTCCCTACCCTGGTAAGGAAATCAACATAGAAGCCCAGGAAGTGCAGAGAGTTCCAAACAAGCTGAACCCAAACAGGTCCACACCAAGACACAGCATAATAAAAATGGCAAAGGTTAAAGACAAAGACAGAATCCTGAAAGCAGCAAGAGAAAGACAGCAGGTTACATACAAAGGAACTCCTATAAGACTAACAGCTGGCTTTTCTACAGAAACTCTGCAGGCCAGAAGGGAGTGGCAGGAAATATTCAAAGTGACGCAAAATAAAGGCCTACAACCAGGATTGCTCTACCCAGCACAGCTATCACTTAAAACTGAAGGAGAGATAAAGAGCTTCTCAGAAAAGAATAAGCTTAAGGAATTCATTACCACCAAGCCAGCATTACAGGAAATGTTAAAAGGGCTTTTTTTAACATAAGAAAGGGGAAAAAGCTAACCCAGAAAGATCAGAAATACAAATAACAACATGGCAATAAACATGCACCTATCAATAATCCCTTTAAATGTGAATGGGCTAAATGCTGCAATCAAAAGACATAAGAGTGGCTGAGTGGATAAGAAAACAGGACCCGTGCATATGCTGTTTACAAGACTCATCTCAGATCAAAAGAAACACACAGAGACAGAAAGTAAAGGGATGGAATAAGAGATTTCATGCAAATGGAAATGAGAAAACAGCTGGAGTAGCAATACTTATTTCAGACAAAATAGACTTTAAAATGAAGACTATAATAAAAGACAAAGAAGGACACACCATAACAATAAAAGGATCTATTCAACAAGAGGATATAATCCTAGTAAACATCTATGCACCCAACATAGGAACTCCTAAATTATAAAACAGATTTTGACAGACATAAAGGCATAGATCAACAGTAACACTATCGTAGTAGGGGACTTCAACACCCCATTGTCACCAATGGACAGATCCTCCAGACAGAAAATCAACAGAAACAGTGGCCTTAAATGACACTTGAGACTGGCTGGATTTAATTGATATTTTTAGAGCATCTCACCTCAAAGCAACAGAATATACATTCTTCTCAAGTATACATGGAACATTTTCCAAGATAGAACACATGTTAGGACACAAAACAAATCTCAATAAATTTAAGAAGACTGAAATCATATCAAGCATCTTCTCTGACCACAATGCTATGAAACTAGAAATCAATTATAAGAAGAAACCTGGAAAGCACACAAATACATGGAGGCTGAATAATATGCTACTAAATAGCGAGTGGGTGAAAACTGAGATCAAGGAGGAAATCAAAAGCTTTCTCAAGACAAATGAAAATGAAAACACAACAACCCAAAATCTATGGAAGGCAGTGAAAGCTGTCCTAAGAGGAAAATTCATAGCAATGCAGGCCTGTATAAAGAAACAAGAGCAATCTCATATCAACAGACTATCTTTACACCTAAGGGAACAGCAAAACAAGCCCAAAGGGAGTACAAGGAAGGAAATAATAAAGACCAGAGCAGAAATAAATGAAATAGAGACCAAAAAAAAAAAAAAACCGAAAGATCAATGAAACCAAGAGCTGGTTTTTTGAAAAGATAAACAAAATCGACAAACCCTTAGCCAGACTCACCAAGAAAAAGAGAGAGACAACCCAAATTAATAAAATCAGAAATGAAAGAGGAGAAGTGACAACAGATACCAGAAATACAGGAAATTGTAAGAAAATACTACGAGCAAGTATATGCCAACAAATTTGACAATCTGGAAGAAATGGACAAATTTCTAGAAGCATACAATCTGCCAAGTCTGAACCAGAAGAAACAGAAACTCTGAACAGACTGATTACTACCAAAGAAATTGAATCAGTAATCAACAAGCTTCCAACAAACAGAAGCCCTGGACCAGATGGTTTCACAGGTGAATTTTACAAAACATTCAAAAAAGAATTAATACCTATTCTCCTCAAACTATTCCAAAAAATACAGAAGGAGGGAAGGCTCCCAAGCACATTTT